ACCATAATACAGGGAGACATCTATCGGTATGATGTCTCCATTCTTGTATCAGTATAACCTTCAATTTCAGTAAAATGTAAATAGAAAAAAATAACGTCACTACAAGGATTAATTGTGCTCACAGTTCTTAACGAAGCAAAGTAAGATAAAATCCATTAACAAACATGTATTGAACATAAGCAACATCAATCAAAAGCAATTGAAAGTCGAGCAATCAAACTAAGGGAGTCATCATATGTTGGTTCCCAATACCTAAAAGGAAAAACATACAAACACTTGAACTAATTATTAGAAAGAAAAGACATGGACATTTTCCAGAATTTTTTCAAAACTCACTTGGACTTCTGGATTTATTTTCCGTAAGTCTCATAAGCCTTCTGGAATTCACCTTGGACCTGGGGATGCATAAAATTAGAAGTTCAATAAAAATCATTCAGAAACCAAAACGCAGTTGTGCTGAATGACTTGTTAATTGTGCAAAAAGCAATATAAAAGAATTAGGGAAGAAAATCTCACAATAGGATTTGAAAGTTCCGTGAAAATGCTTTATATATAGTAGATAAATAGCTAGTTAGCAGGGAATCAATACAGATGCCCAATTTTATTCCATCCTTATTCATTATCAGCACCATACAGTGCAAATTTAATTTGGATAAATAAACAACTAATTTTTATCCACGAGTAGAATTTATCAAAATTTGGTTCTCATTTTGAGGGAAACACTTTACATGTCACGTTAGTTGTCGCATGGCATGTACACAAATGCAAAGATTAAAGACACCAAGGCCTTGGATAGTCAGTCAATATAAACTTTTTTTTTTCGGTTTTTCAAATTTGTAAGTATGTAGGGAAAAGCGAGACAAGAGTGGACTCAAGAAAAATTTAAACACAAGGCAGCTCCAACAATAGTTTTTGCTTCTTTCATCCACTATAGCTTTAAAAGCAGTGACCATATGAATTACTTTATCATTGTTGTAATGTACGGCTGAGGAATAGAAGTAAAAGCTTAAACAGTGTAAATAGTGGAAAGTGTGCATTAGAAAGGGCCTATTCATGACCACTAAAGAAAAACACATTATAAACAATATTCATAGTCTAAAGTTTGAACATCATATCATGAAAACTATAAAATTTAATGGCAAAATAAATTAAGCCCACACACACTTGAGGCAAGTAATGAAGAAAATTCAAAAATAACAAACAAATAGATGCAAAATTAGGTCATGGAATGCCAAAAAAACAAAAAAAACAAAAAAACAAAAAGACAGACGCACCACCATCCACCTCTAAGTTTTGCCCCTAAACTCTCACCCATGCGAGAAGTAGATGCGAAAGTCTAAATTGCCAAACCAACAGGTGATGTTACTCTCTGGTTTTCAATCTCCACCTAGCAAGAGCAGCTTCTCGGCCACGCTTCG